GGCGTATCAGAAGTGGGTTCGTGAACACGGGCCGGAGCGTCCTCTGCCGGGACTCAAATACACACACGAGCAGCTCTTCTTCATCGCGTTCGCTCAGGTAAACCAGATTCGTTCATACAGTGTTAGTTAGCAGTTTCAAAGTAACGCATTACAATATTGCGTTACTCCCTAAAAAAGTAACTGATTACGTTAGTTACTTTTTATGGAAAGTAATGCGTTACGTTACTTTTCAAATCTGGGTTGGGCTTGCTTGTTTGTTTTTCATATAAAAAGTGATATTTCTGGTAAATGTAAAAGCCCTTTCACAACAAAAAGTGAAATGAATGAGCCTCAGGCTGAAGGAAAAGTAAATTCACGTCTGTACAGCAGAACGCAGGAGAAGAACATTCAACACTCTTCAGCAATAAAAAAAAGACACACAAATGTTAGTTTATCTAAAGTGATTTTTGCTTATTAGTATGATTGAATTTGATAATCGAAGCTCAGCTGCAAAGACATTGCTTAATAAAATAGGATTAAATACATAAAGGATATTTGTGTTATTTACCATTTAACTATTGCAGATTTACATCAACTCAGAAGAACTCAAAGTAATGTGTTACTTTACTAGTTACTTAAAAAAATGAGATGTTTTCTACACATTGCATCACAGAACTGGTGTATGAAGAGACGATCGCAGTCGATTTACCTGCAGCTGCTGACGGATAAACACGCACCTGAACATTACAGGTAATACACAGCTAACACAATTAATATTCCTCATTAGAAACGTTTAATAAGTCAAACATTACTTCTACAAACCAAGCTCTATCTAGAAACCGATTTGCTGGTAACTACGGTATATAATGCCATTCTTCGGTTGTTATTGTTTTGCATTATGCTTAACAGCTCATTAATTCTGCACGTTGAAATAATTTGATATAGCGTTACATGTTGGCATGTGTATTTAATTTTTCAGAAGAAATCATTTCAATATAAGGCTGTTAAACTCAATCAAATAAAAATAAAACTAAGTAAAAAATAAAAGAAAGTAAATAATTTCATAACCAAATAAATTAGTGCATTAGTGTAATTAAGGCATGTTTATATCCAATTCATAAATACTTAAAGCAGTTCACTAATTTTAAATGATTCATCCTCGTTTATCTGATACTTAAGTATGACCAGTGTTAGTTTAGTACCACTGAGAATATTATAGTTTTTATTGATATTTTGAATTATTTTTATTAATATTTTTAAATATTTGTATTTTCCATTTTTCATCTTTCCATTTAGTTCTAGATTTTTTGTGTTTCTATCATTTATATTATATTATATTCTTTTTTAATTATATCTATTTATATATTATTATTTTTTAATGTCTATAATTTTTTCAGTTTTAGGTTATTTTAGTAAATAAAAAATTAAATTATTCTAAATTATCCATCTTTGTATATCTGATACTGAAATATTAATTATGTTATTTAAGTATCACTGAGATAATACTGTAGTTTTTCTTAATATTTTTAATAGTTTTTTATATATATTTTCCTTCACTGAAAGTTCTAGATTTTTTGTGTGTTTTTGTCATTATTATTATTATTGTTATTATTATTAATTCATTTTTATTTCAGTTTTAGTTTTAGGTCATTTTTACATCGTTTAGTAAATGAACAACTAAATAAAAATGAGACATTGGTAACTGGCTGAAATAAAGTGAATTAATTGTTTTGTTATATTTAATTTTTTCAAGTTAACATTTATTTTATTTAAAATAAGAATTTTTTTTTTTTGTTTTGGTTTTCAGTATCCGTGAATATGACTTTGATTCAAATGTGTATATTTATTGTTATGTACTGTATATATATATATATATATATATATGTATATGTATTGCTGATGTTGATGATTAGGGATTCACTATCTCTGTGTTCTGGGGTTATGGTCTGTCTGCAGGGTGATTGGCAGCGTGTCTCAGTTCGAGGAGTTCAGTCGCGTGTTTCACTGTCCCAGAGGGTCACCCATGCATCCGGTCAACAAATGCGCCGTCTGGTGACCTTTAACCCCTGAGCGTCTCCTCATCGCCCTCGTTTCCATGATGAACCGCTCCGAGCTGCTCCCACGCCGTTTGATGTTTACAGCATTTTAGTGATCAGAAATCAACTCGTGCTCATCGATACGCGCCATATTTCACACCCATCTTTCTTTGAAATCTTTATTTTTATATCCGGATGCAGAGTGTGTCGAATCAGGCGTGATGAGGTGTGTGTGAGAGTGTGAGAGTGTGTGAGTGTGTGTGTGTGTGAGTGTTGTTTACAGCATTTTAGTGATCAGAAATCAACTCGTGCTCATCGACACGCGCCATATTTCACACCCATCTTTCTTTGAAATCTTTATTTTTATATCCGGATGCAGAGTGTGTCGAATCAGGCGTGATGAGGTGTGTGTGGGTGAGTGTGAGTGTGCGCGTGTGTGTGTGTGAGTGTGTGAGTGAGTGAGTGTGTGTGTGTGTGTGTGTGTG